CATATTACCTGTATTGTGGGAAATGTGCAAAAGGCAAATAGGTGAAATAAGATCAGTGTTTTTCTGTGCTTATAAATCAGCAAGTAAAATGGCATGATTAATTTGACTGGTTCGGTTTGCTTCTTATGTGGTCTTCCAGAATGCCAGCTGCATGGATGCTGAGCCAAACCCAAACCAAAAATACCTGTTTCTCTGGGATGCAAAAGGGAGGAAACAGATTAATCTATAAACCCCAGGTTTCCCTTCAAGTTTTGGTTCTGGACTGAATCCTCAAAACTCCATAGATTTGTTTAACCTGCAGTCACATCTGTCATAAGGTTTGGCTCAGAAGGCAGGAAACCTGGAAGATCTCAGCAGAATTTTACCTTAAGCTGATGCAGTTGTGAATATTCAGAAAACATAGTATCTCCTTTCTCTGAGTAGAAAACTATAAGTTTTGCTAAAAACCAAAAACTGCCATTAATTATATAATGGCTTGTCTGAGCATCCCTCCCTTGTAACCAAACTGTTAGCCAAGTGTAAAGAGCATTATCTCTCTTTTGCTCCCATGCACCTCTCTAATAATTCTAATAAATGGAGATGGGCATTCTGCCAATCAAAAGAAAGCCATCCCTACCAATAATGAATCTATCTGACAAACATTAGTTTTCTGAGCTGGCTTGTTTCACCCAATTCAGTTTCTTGCAGTCTGGCTAAAGTAGTTCCGCATTTGCTTTTTGTTTGTTTTCAGCCAGCAACGCACTTATTGGAACAAACTTGCTGACTCAGATGTCATCACAACTGCTCAGGAATTGTGATTATAGGCGCTTCAGAAAACTGAAAGCGTATCACTGATCTATTTCACAGCCCGTTTCTTTCTACTTTATCTTAAAAGGGTGGCATACAATCATGAGAAGTAGTCTTGTTCACTTGGTCAGGTTGCATTTATAACCATGGTTTCTAAACTTTGTCTGAAGCGCCAACCTGTCCAATGCTTTTTACATCATCTTGGCTGTCATAAGAAGCTTGGAGCCAAGATTTCCAGAAAAGCCAGAAGAGGTCTTCAGAGTTGTTCCAGACAAAACTCATTCTGTGATATTTTAAAGCCATCTGTGCAGCTTCTGACCAACCAATCTCCCTCACCCAGGAGGGCAGGTTATGGCATCGTGTGATCATAACTCAGAGCTTTCTATTTGCTGTCTGTGACTTCAGCTGAAAACACTGCAGCATTACACATCCTGTGGCATGTCCACAAAAGACTACCATGCCAGCAAGAGGTAACAGCCTGAAAAGCAGTTCTGCCTCATGAAAAAATCACCGACTTGGTGCTGTGATATTCTGTGAATTCGTATCCCCAGAAGGTAATAAATGAAACCATCAAATTATATGAGAAATGCCTTCACTTTTCTGACAGCCCCATCCGTAGCCCTTGTAATCTAAAGTCTCTACACTAAGTCATTGCAAACTAAGCCATACACATATCATATTTCCTCAACAACCTCCACTTGAAATACCTGCTTACAGCTACTCAAAAGCTTACCAATCTTTAAAGCCCTCAGTTGAGATTTACATGCTGTCAGGACCATTGGTTTTATCTGAACTTTAGGCAACTAACTAGGTTAATTCTTGTGTAATGCAAGGAAATGGAGCTGAGAGGCTGAGGTGCCCCACTCAAAGACAATGCGAGAGCTGGGACCCATCCTTGCTGAGCACCTCTGTTTCAGTGCACCAGTGGCCTGCAGGGCTTGCAGCCTCTGTTCTTGGAAGCTAACAGCTGCAGGGAGGCTCAGTACCACAGTAGCAGGAATAGTAATGAACTGGACCAGGCAGTGAAACGGGAGAGAAGATTGTACTAAAATAAATGTGAAGCTGGAGTCAGTGAAGAGATCCTAAGAGAGAGATATTATAAAAGGATTAGGACTAGTTGACATTACACAGGAAAGCTTAGTCCTATGTTTTCATAACTTCTGAAAGCTGGACTTGCAATCTGTACAATGTTGTTTTAGAGGAGAGTTCACATGTAATGACTGCACAGATGCATGTAGTCCTAAAGGATATCTACATTTGGCAGATGTGGCATTTAAGGGAAAGCGGGCCAGCTCAGGTACGTCCATTCCAGTCAGAAGCAGAGCCCTGAAGTCAGAAACCATGTCCTTCTTGAGCCACTCAGATGCCTAACAGTACCTTCCTGCCCTGATATTGAAGGGGTTCTTCTTATTGAGGAAGTGTCCACACTGACCACTCTCTATGAACACATGAAAAAAAGCAGAGCTGTTCTGCATTGCCTTTCCCCCCACTCTACGGGCTACGTCTCTGCAAAGCACTGCTGTACACCCTGACTGGAAATGAAACTCGTATGCCAGGCCAGGAGTGCTCCCAGCCACTCATGGAGAAATGACACCATGTCTCTGTCTCTGCACTGCAGCATGCACATTACCACAGCCTGATCTAGGCTCTGGCTGCTGCACCAAAATCCCTTCCTTTGAGCCTCCCCAGTGGCAAAGACATGTTGTCCCTCAGGCTGGGACAGGATGAAGGTGTGATAGCCCAGATCTGCACAGGTCTTCCCCAGTTTCAAGGAGACCCTGGCTGGACCAGCCTTAGAGCCTATGGCATGGGAGTTCGCAGACACCGTAGCACCAGGGAACAGTTCCCTCCACTGTGGCAGAAGGGACACATTTGGGACTTGCTGCTGAACTGTGGGCAGCAGCACCTCAGGAGGTTCAGCACCAGTCTGGGATTTGAGGAATCTCAGAAGCATTCCAGAGGTTCTGGCTGATTTTGTGGTGTCCAGAGGTCCCACATTTTCTCAGCACAAAGAGCTGCGTGCTCTCCTAGAAAGCTGCTTCGACCACGACTAAAAGCTCTCTCCAGAAGAACAAGTCCAGAGCCAGAGACATCTCCCTCCCCACAGGCAGTGCACCCTTCAAGGCAGAGCTGAGAAGGGCTCTGACTCAGGCGTGAGTTGCTTGTCAAGAAACAGCTGGAGATGTTCAGCAGTGCTGGAGTGCTGGCCTTGGAGTCTCATTGAAGCTGAGAAAGGCACGCTCAGGGGTTTCGTGACATGCTGCATCCTACAGAGCCAAAAGTCATGAGGTTCATGGCCAAACAGATGGACTTCACTGGGAGGAGGGGGTGGCCACCTGAGGAAGGACTGCAGAGTAACAGGAGCCAATACCAAATATGCGCAGGGCTTCTTAGCAACGTGGGATTTAGCCTAAACATGCTGTTGGACAGCAGATCTCTGGATATTCCCTCGCTCTCCCTTATTCACATATATGAAAGCTTTCCCTGGAGCCCACCATCACCAGTGGCCTCCCTCCAGCAGCCTTTCTGCACTACTCTATCTTACTCAGTGGAGGCCAGGAGCAAAGTCTCAGCATCCCCTTCCCCCTTCCCACACTAAGTAACGTAACATATAAACTCCTCATACACCTCAGGCCACCCCTCCTGTTCACCACAGGGTGTTACACACTCTTCCACATCACTGAACTATGAGAGGAAGAGGAAAGTCAGAGTGGGTGTTTCAAACAGATGCAAGTACCACCAGCAATGCACAAACTATGTTATATGGCTGATGGCTTGTGGGCATTCAGAAACAACTACAGTCAGCAGTGCCTGTCACAACTGCTGTTGATGCTAACACTCTTTGAGAAAAACTGTGCATCTGGTGGATGATTTTATTTACACTGTCCTTTCACTTGGTCCCCAACTCCCACCTCTATGAATTTTCCTTTACTCATAGTTCCTTGTCACAACTCCCACATGCTGCTCAGCACTTCTGTGAATGCCCATTTCCATCCCATAACACAAGAATCATGAGGAGCAAGCAGGAAGCATTCTCCTGAAGAGTATACCCAGCATGCAGGGTTTGATCAGGATCAGGGCAATGCTCAGCATTTACTTCCTTCCCAAATATAAAATCAGGCCTCATTGTGCTGGGCCTGACATGCACGGCACAGAGTTCTGCCCTCTTCTCAAAGATTTCTCCTTGGCTTGCTGCCTTGCATTGCAAAGCTGTGTCTCCTCTCTGGATTTCCTTTCCTGTGCATTCAGAGCTTGTCCTCCTTCTGCTGCCTTCCCTGGCTGTGACATGTGTGCCAATTGAGCAGGCCTGTTGAAAAATACCCCCCTCTCTCCCTGTCTGTAACACGTGCTCAAAACCAAAACCATCTCAAGACATCTCTGCTCTATGTTCTGGGCAACATGTGCTCTCACTGGGACATATCCCAGCTGGTTTGCCTCTGTGAGCTGCTCCCTGCTGTTGTAATGTGGCTGATGAGCAGAAAGAGTTGGACAGAGGAAGGAAATAGAGAGCAAAGAAATAACCTGAGAAAAGGAAGTGCATAAGAAAGGTGAAGAAAGGAAAAACTTAATGGAAAACACGCAGGAAAAATGAGAAAAAAAAGAAGAGAGAAAAATGCAAACAATCATGAGCAGAAAGAAAAATAAACAGAGAAGATAGAAAGTGTAAACAAAAAAAAATAAAAAAGAGAAAAAATTGGATCGAATGAAGCAATAATAGCAAAGTTGGTCCCTACATTGAAGATACACTTTCCCAGAAATATCTCTTTCGACACTCTGGATAGCTTGGTCAGGAGGCAGCAAATGCTGTCCGTTCAGCCGGACAGGAGCAGTCATGTGTCACAAGCAAGATCAAAGGCATCAGAAATGCCTTTTTGGGGAGTTAACTTACCAGGATCAGAAAGGAAATCTCTTCAAGTTTGAAAGAGTTAGTTATTAAATTGCTTATCAGAAAGCCGATCTGTTGCAAGTTCATAGTCTGCTTGTTCAGTGGTTGCGTGTCATGTGCCCATGTCCTCCTCATGGCGCCTGTGTGGGGAGGGCAGATGGCCACACAAGGGATTTCACAGCATTCCAGCTATAAAACTTTCTGCCCCCATGTTCTGGAGAAAATGGGTCCAAATCTATACTGCACACAGAGATCCGTGCTCTCTGCCAGCACAGTTATCCCACTAGATTTAAAGCTGATCTGTTGCAAAATAAAAGACTACTTGAACTCTGGTTTGTATCAGGTTTTCATTGCTAAGAAGTAAATCTTGCAATGAAAGCCCACATTTTACCAATATAAGAATACTAAATGAAAGCAGTGCTGATACAATAAGTATTAAATCAGAGGGAATAAGTAAAACCCACTTTATCCTCTTCATAATCTTCTGAGCACACAGACAACCAACTGAGTTCTCACAAGTTAACTCTGTGCACTACCATATGTGGGAGGAGGTTGAAGAGACAGCTCTGAGGAAGGATTTGTTGAGGGACGTTTTCTGAGGGAGTTCGCAGCAATGGTGCATGCGTCTGTTTGAGGACGATTACACATGACTGCTGGCACACACCAAACTCACTGGATTAAAGAGTGCTGGAGCTCTTCCCTTGCTTTTAAAGCTTCTGCTCTCTGTGTTTTGAATAAGTAAATACATTGCTTTTTGGAAGCAGACTTTTACCAATCTGCAGGAACAAGAGTAAAAATTTCCAAAAATTCCCAGAGGATTTAGAAAGTCTTCTTGCTTGTAACAGATGTGTCCCAAAGTCCCACCACAAATCAGAAAATGGTCACCAAATTACACTCATTCAAACTCAATATGCAACCAGCAGTGAGCCAAGAGAGGAGAAATGAGGTGGGATGTTGGACTCAGGGTCAGTAGCACAGTTTTGCAGGAACACAACTAGGGGCAGAAATCAGATCCTTGATGCCTCCAGCTAATGCCTAATAGTCAGTTGCTGCAGAGCAAAATAAACTCAAATTCATAAAACATGACTTATGTTTGGGCCTGACATGAATGTTGAAAATGTTCTTGTTGCAGATTCTGTACCATTAAGTTAAGTAATGGTTGTTCAGCCTTGAGTTATGGTATATAGGAAAGATTTGCAACCCCTGGAGCCAGTATGCCCATGAAGATATAAAGACTGGTTTCCTTAGAAGTATCTTTCTCAGAGCAGCATAAATCTCTGCCTGTGGGTGGCCACTCTTTACATGTGTAGCCATCAGAAACAGCATTGTCAAATGCTATGCAGGAACCACAAAGTCAGACTCATAAAGATTTGCCATTAATGATATAATGCATTGTCAGGAGATTAAGAGATTAAGAGTATAAACAGTATCTCTGATCCATTAAGGCATTGTGAAGGTCTTGGTTTAAAGCACCACTTGAATCTTTCCTAAAAACAGAAAAAGCAAGAAAATGTCAGTAGCATATGAATTAGACTTGAATAAATAAAGGCATTTAGAAAATGGAGCCACTCCTTGATGAAATCCTTTTAAACATTTAGTAATCAATGGGATTCATTATGTTGTAGAGTAGTGAAGGGAAAAAATGATAGCATAGAAAGGAGAGTTTAACTACCTCAGATGCAAAAACATCCTTCAACCTTCACATACTGGCAACCAACAGAAATACATCATCAGTGCAGCAGCATTATGTCAAGAGAAACCAGTACAGCTTTCTCCTGTTTCTGCATTTCTTCTGCTAGTCACATCTTACAGGACACATTCTTCAGGACACATCAGTGAGGCAAATCTGTACTTTAAACTTTGATGGTGTTCTTTCAGTTCTGCATCTCAAAAAGGAAGGCTGGTTTTAGACAAAGCAATGTGTTAATTGGAAACTGATGCTGGCATTTTCTGGAAAAAAAGTCAATAATCATCTAATCTACTTTCAGTATCTACACTAAAAAAGAATGTAATATGTAAACGTACGGTATCAACTCCCATCAATTATTTCAGTGCTTTTTATCTTTGAATTTTAATATTATAAAACATTAGTCATAAATGCACACAAAAAGTGTTTATTTTCTTTGAAAATTAGAGCATTTTTAACATTCTTAGGAACTGATATTTGTTAGGAGCTGCATCCAGCTCTTGAAATATTAAAATCAGCATGATCTAAATGCATATTTATATAGCTCGAAGTAGGAAGTTTAATCAATATGTTATTCTTTGTCTAAAGGATTAACTTTTTCCCTTTGTCACGTCTGACTTTTTAAAATATCAGCCTCCATGCTGGGAAGACTACTTTAGCACAGAAGATGAAATCACTCAATGACAAATGTTCAGTCTACTGCCATATGCTATTCTTCCAAAGCCTAACTGCAAACTTCATCCTTCATCAGCAGAATGCTCGCCAAACTGCTTAGTTACCGAATGTGTTTGCATTTGTGTTTACAAACTGAACACATCCCTTCCTTCTTTTAATTAAAGAAAAAAAAATTATTGTAATTTATTGAACTAACCCTGTACACTCACCAGCCAAAACAAGGGAATATCCTTTTTCAGCAGTCACCTGAATTAGTGAATGCACTTCTTCACGGATGGACCCCAGTAGCTTCTGCTGCACCCCATGTCAGTGGAGGAACTTCCACCCGCTCAGGAAAGATTCATCTCCTCTGAACAAGAACACAGTGTATTCCCTACAGGAAAGTCAATCTGTCTTCAACAGCTGCATGTTTGTGGTCACTGTGAAAGCCCCTGCATTTGTAATCTAAGTAAAAGTGATAATTCTTGCTTTTCTAACAGGGTTACTGTGAAATGACTGTTTATGTTCGTGAGGAAGTCAGATATCCAGTGAAGGCTGCAAGAAAAATGCATACCAATAACCCAGAGGTGCAACTCTACAGAGGATGCTGAAAACTGCCAGGAAGGAAGCTTCAAATGTGGAGTAAGTAGACCCAGCTCTGGGAAATGCCAGTGGGATCCAAAGGTTTAGGAGGAAGTCAGCATTTGTATCTCTTGACAGCTGATGAAAAACAAAGAAAAAAACCCAGTGTCATCGTGTTACAACAGAAGAGGCCAACCAAAAATGACAGACCAACTGACTGGCTAATATTGTAACATCATATTTTCCAGAGAGGCTATGTTAGAAAACAGAAGTGCACTTTAGGGTGAGTCCTCATCAGCTTTGATTGTCTGAATTGAAGCAGAGCCTTTGACGAAGAGCCACAAGCACTCATGCAGCGCTATGACCTTCTTGGCATAAAACACAGCCAAATGGGGAGGAAATGGGCTCTTTTTGCTCCTTTCCTTTGCGCGTTTCTTTGTCCTTACTGGAGAAGTGGCCCCTTGGTGAAACACATTTTAACAGATGCAGTATCAGTGGCTCATTTATCTAAGCACCAAAATTTCCCCATTGTATTATCATCTTTCTCAGCATACATTATACCCAATTAAAAATTCCTAATAGGTCTGCAGGGAAGAGTCCTTTGTTGAACAGTCAGTGGCAAAATTTCCATCCATTTCAGTAGGGCTGGAATTTTATCAGATCTCTCTCATTCTGTGGGCTTCTTCTGTTGGGAGGGGAGAATTTGTGCTCACTTCTATTCTTGCAGGCTAGTACCAATGTGTGTTCAATTATATCACACTGCTTGGTTCTGCACCATTCTTTAGGTGTACTTCTGCACATTCATTATCCTCTCAGTGGAAAAAGTCCTGTGGTCTTTGGATTTTGCAGTTCTTTTTGTATGACTTAGCCTACATTTCAAAGTACTTTGTCTCTGGTGTGACCTGAAATAAATTAAAAGGTACCATATGTGAGAGGATTTAAAAAAAAAAAAAGTACATACATTACCAGAGGTTAATATGCAGGAATAAGTCTCATTTGGTGGCTTTTTCCCCACAGAAATCCCATACTTGAGGTGAGATACTCAACAAAGTTGGCAGTGAGATATTTCTTTTTGTTTCCCCTTTTCATATGCAGAATAAATTAGAGGATAAAGTGTAATGATGGGAGATGCAGATGAAAGTAGTGGCTCAAACCACTGTAACCCAAGGTTGTCACGGTTACCCATACCCAGCATGTTGGTGGAAGCTGCTGCAGCCTCTCAGAGACAACGAGAGCCACTGTGTCCCCAAACATCCAGTGCAGTGAGGCACCAGTCACTTGGAAGATGGCAATGCCATGTGCTGGTGAAGGTCTGATCTGGATGTCCCTATGTTCCTTTCCAGCAGCCAACTTAGCTCATGAAGAACCTCCGGGAGACTTTGGAGCTGCCAGCTCTGATAATGGCTTAGAGACATGACAAAGATGGCTCAGCCTCCAACCACACTAGACACCACAGGTGGTCGACAGGCCTGGCAAGGCCACTTTATTTTTAATATGCTTTCCTTAGAATCAGGAAGAAAAAAACATGAAGATAAAAGCTGTGTTAAAAGCTAAACAGATACAGGCAACACTTTGCAAAGGCAGTCTGACTTCAGGATTAGATCATTCTAATAAACAAAAATAACAGCATTTGCCAAAATACTTGCAGTGTTACGTCTCACTTTAGCAAAGGAACACGGACTGAAACCTGCATTCTTACTGCACCCTCATTGTCTTCTATAAAATCAGATTTATCTTGTTACCTGGTTATCACATGATCAAGCAATCAGTTAAATTAAGCTATCCTTAATTGATATTTATTTCATTTGCGTGCCACAATTAAACTGAGAAACAAGTTAAAATTAATGTGAACAGGAACTAAAAAAAGGAGTGACACTTTGTTTTTACAAAATTCATTCAAATGCAAATTACTCTAGATACCTGTTTGAAGAGCTTTTGTCACAGGTGGAACAACTATCTCCAGTCTATGTTTCAGACAATATCTTGCATACATCTTATATACAAGGGTTGCATCTGACCAAATGAAGTGCTAAAAGTACATAGAGAAAGGGAAGGAAGAAGAAGTCAATAAAGAAGCTTCTGATTGAGATTAAGAATTCAGGAAGTATAGGTATTGAAATTGAAAAGGCAAGAAGTTAGGAGAAAATGGAGAAAGTTTTCTATCACTATAGAAAAAGCAGAAGGGCCAAAAAGGGAGTCCAATGGGCAGCATGAAGGTTGAATTGAAGGATAAGTTTGACCAGGAACAAAACCTGAGCTTTGACTGAGGTGGTCATCTTGAGTATGCAATGGCTAAGAACAGTGGTAGATAGAAAGAGCTGTTACTCTAAACCACAGTGTAAGTAAATTTGAAAGAAAATATTGCAGGAAAAGTAAATTGAACATACACTCCTCCCTAAATTCTGGAAAAGCTAGTCTTTGGAACTGGGAAGTGGTGAAGCCAAAACAATTAAAGGTACAGTGACAAGAGGAAAAGGGAATAAAACGTAACGTGGATTGATTTGATTTTTGGTATACAATACTTTTGGAAGATGGTAGATCCATTATTTTGGCCTTGAGTAAAACATTTTCTTAGGGATGTAATGCTTGAGGAAATTATTACAAGAGGCAGTACATTGGCTGAAAACAGAGAAGAACAGACTCCACAGAAAGGGCATGATTGTACTGATGGGAAGTTATTAGTGGAGCTCATCCAGCAGAAAATATTGGATCTTATGGTAACACTTTAGCAATGATCTATATGGTTTAACTACAGTTCATCATGTATTAATGAAATTTGCCACTAAAAGAGCACGGAAAAAAGCTGCCAAGAGAGGAGGACTGTAATATCATTTGGGAAAAACTTAATGAACTTGAAGTCTGGAGCAACAGAAATGGAACGTATGCTTAGGATCTAATAAGAGGGGTATCTGCTACTGTCCAGGAGATCATTTGTTTGGAGCTGGAAGAAAGACTTCAGTGTATTATTTAGGGCAATTTGAAGCCATGGATGTGATGCATCTATAAGAAAGGCAGACATGATCATAAGATGAATCAAATATTTCCCATACAAGAAGTGATGAGTCAATTAGATTACACAAAAGCTGTTTGGCACTCCATCTGTAATGCTGTGCACAATTTTGGTTACCCCCATTCTAAAAAAAGTAAGTGAAATTGCAGCAGTGCAAAGAAAGACCAGCAGGGAGATAAAGTGACTGGAGAAATTATTCTACATAAAATGAACAGAAAAGCAAGGTTGAATATGTGCAATTGCTCTCTAAAAATGCATCAATGAGAAAATAGCAGGAAGAATTGTTAGAAGAAAGAGCAATAGTAACATGGAAAACCTACTGAGTAGAACTGGTGGAACTTTTAGCCATATGTGAGACAAGATGTGGAACAACCATGTAGGTTTCAAATAGAGTCTGATCTAGGTAAATGTTTGATAAGAACAGTTATCAAACTAGTTGCTTTCAGTTGGAGTAGATACAATTCAACAACCAAAAGACCATTTCCAGACCTGTGGTGTGATATTGTGGAGCAGATCATGACCCTTAAATGTAGACATGAGGAAAGGAGAGGAAAGGATCAGATCTTAGGCTGTTCAAACTTAAGCACAGGTCTGCCTGGGTTGAACAGTGAAGATGCAACAGAAAATGTTAATTCTGAACTTCAACACTTTTTTCACTGCAAAAGGTCACTAGCTTCAAACACCACCCAAGACAGCTGTGTTGGAGTTTTTCAACCAAGCCCTGAACTTGCAGCTTTGTTTCTGACTGGAGCTAAGAACAGAGGACTGCTTGAAAGAAGTGTTTGGAAGGAATAGGAAGAGTGGGAGAAAAAAGTTGTGTGTGCCAGGCTGGTTGGAGAGGACGCAAGAGAACATCTCAGGGATAGCATAACGAAGAAACAGTAGTTTCAGGCTAGGAATACCTGAAAATCAACAGGGAAAAGGATGAGGAGAGTTGGCATGTAGCAAAAGATCAAGCTCTACATATACATATCTCTTCTTAACGTATTTATTTATTTATTTATTTATTTTGGGGGGGGGAAGGGGGAGGTGGAGAGAGAGAGAGAAAGAGGATAGAAATGTATATCTCCTGTGGGATTTATTGTTATTTTATTTTGTAAGGAAGTGGTCTGCATTTCAGCTGATTGTTTGCAACTGGAAGGAAAAGGTTGGATGTGTTTAGAAATCCTCCAATACATATTACAATCCTGCAACTCACCTTCACTGTGCCTCTGCTCTGAGTGAGTCACCGACACACATAAAAGAAAAGGAAGGAAGTGCTGGGGTTAATGAAAAACAGCCTGCTTGGAAACTTAATTCTAATGATAATGATTAAAGAAAACAGAAGATAAAGTATTCCTTCCAAGCCAAAAACACTGTTCAGAGCAAGCAAAAATTAAAACAGGAATAATTTATTCCCCACAGCATTGCAGAGGAAGAAGAATATAGAATAAACACTATGCAATGAGAAGCTCTAGATTCTGTTTGTCAGCAGCAATGGGAATTGTACACACTGATAATGGAAGCAGCCTCTGAATGTGTTAGTCTTTAAGTGGGTCTCCACACTAGCCACAGTAAGCTGGTGGCAGCCCTGGGGTGAGGATGAGGACTCCCAGCACCAGACTCAGGTGGCTGTGATGTGGCATGGAGGCTGCCACCAGCAATGTAGACCAGAGCTGTCTGGGGACTCAACAAGAAATTATAATAGTATGACACATTTAATCTGCCAGGGAAACAACTGACCAACACCTGTTAGAGCCATGGTACGCCTCGCAGCCTGACATCCCTTTAAGGCACCAGTGATTCCGTGAAGCTGATAGAGAAAAGCTGGTTTTTACCTTCTGAGATACTGACACCTTTGTTACTTCTCCAGAGCAGCTCAGATGCAGAGAAAGCAAAAACTGCACAAGATAAAGCCTGCATGTTTTTTTCAAGACTGGTGTTGTTATCTATGGCTACATATCTCACACTGATACAAGGATATCTGACTTAAAGCTTCTTGGGTTATCCTATAAATACTATAATTCTTTTGCAAGAGGACAAAGTTAATCACTTTTGCTTCAAAATTATAAAAGCAGAAATAAACACATAGTGAAGAAGGGATCCACCCTGAAGTCTGTTCCCCTAATATGTGCTAAAAATATTTGGGTGGCTCTTGCTGCAGCCCCATGGAGTAAAGTCATTATATGCTCTTGACTTTTATGTAATAAATTTAGTATCATGCATGTTATGATAGTTTCATACCCCAATTGACATAAACCACTATAAAACCTCATATCTGAACTCAGATCAAAAGAGATTATGCATTTGTCAGACAGATGCTTTTTATTCAGTCCTTTCAGAAAAGCCTGGAATTTCAACTGCAAGCTTTCTTGGGATTTTTTGCAGTTAACTGGTCATCCACTGAGCAGCCTGCATCTTTCCAGAGGTTGTTGCAGACCTTACGAGAGCCAGAAGAAAACTCATTTTCCGTAGCTCATTTTTTCCTAGGGAGTCTTGCATTCCAAGGGTTTAATAGTCTGAATTCTATATACGAAATCCCATCTTCTAAATGTGTTTCCCATGAGAGATTTTTTTATTTTTTATTTTTTATTTTTTTTGCTACATAAATACTTTAAAGCAGTCATTACTGTAAGAAAAACACTATGAAAGGAGAAGCATTAAAATGGACAATAGAAGGATGAGGTAATGGTGTCATAGTTTCCCAAAGGCTGAGATATTCAAGAAGCCTACACAAATAAGTCATTCATTTAATAAAGAGGGTTCATTTGAGCAAAGTACCAATGTTTTGCTGGAACCTGAAAATCCCAACCTCTAGTGACCACCAGCTGCTCTTGACTCAAGTCTTCACAAGGTGTGATGCTCTCGCACCAGAAAAACCATCTGGAAAACAGGCATGGTGTTTATGACAATACTGATAATTGTCACAATTTCTGACAATACCAGCAATCATGGGAGGAGTTCACCATGACCACAAGCAGCAAGTGTCCTTTATCATAAGCCCAGCACATGGAATTACTTAGATCAAAATCAGATCTTTGATCTTCTCTTCTCCATACCTGTAGGGCTGGGACTGAGCACTGGGACTCTGAAACCTTTTTTAAATTGACTTCTGCTCCTAAATCTCTGTCCTTTTTTAAAAGCCTGCTACCCAAGATGTCAGTCGCTACTGGAAGTGTTAGTGAAGATGTGCCAGCAAAGAACTGCTGAATGTAAACAAATCAGTGTCTTGCCTGTCACTCTCACCAGGCACACACAGCAGATAACCTGATTTCCATCTCCTGCAAAACTGGCAAAGTGACAGAGCATGGGTGAGACAAATAGGAAGAACAGGTGTATCATTTGGCTTTTGCAGTGTTATTCACATCTGTCCTGATCCAAGGATGTGAGTAAGCAAGTCTGCAGGTGAAGCTCAGTGAGATTTCTGTGTGGTCCACAAGTAGCAGAAGGCTCTTCTGTTTCCACCTCAGTCACCTCAGTCTCCTCGGCTGTACAAAGGCAATCACACAGTCCTGAAAGACTCTTACAGACATGTCCCTAGTGGGAAGAGCCACGTAAAAGGTGAATGGAACTTGGACTTGGCCATGATTCAACCATTCCTTACATGCAGACAAGGGCACTGAAATGTGCAGAAGAGCGTCCCTGCCTAAAACATACTTTTTTGCACTCAGCAACAAGTTAGAGATCAGTCCAGATGTACAATGTCATCTTTTGGTTACCATCCATAAATCTCCAGCTTTCCATACTCCCAGCCAAATCTATGATACTCTGGATCAACCTTTGGTAGAGGAAGAATGGGAGACACCTTATTATTTCATAGGCAGTAACCTGCAGGTTGCCACAAAGGATAGTAGACATTGTTTATCTAAATCTATAAAACTCATAAGTCTTATCATGTGTGTCAGAACATACCTTCACTGAAGCTCTGTTACATTGGCTGTAAGAAAAATAACTCCACCCTGAAGGGACAACACTTGCAAATTTTGTGACACTAGTGGAACTTCTCCATTTCTTCATGTAAAAAAAAGGTTGCTGAAGAACTGAGTCTTTAGCTCTGCTAAAATCATCAATGAGCAAGTATCTATCATGTCCAGTTAAGCATGATAGGAAGGGAATTGTCAGCCTTGAATTTTAATGTAAATGAAATGGGCTGATTTCATGTAAATGCAACAGTGTAGAGCAGGATGGAATAATTCATGTACGAGAAAAAAAAGATGTGTCCACAAGTAAGTAACTTGTATTTATGTATTTCAGTCTTACAGGACATTGTAAAATCAAGAGCAGTTGACCATTATGTTAAAACATAACACTCAGAAACACATTATTCTCTCTCACAGTACATTAACTCAGATTGAGTAGAGAATTAAAAGAAATCTATAGCTTTTAATGTAAGTGCAAAAATGGTGAGCTGGGAGACCTCAAGCACTCCCAAACAAATGTGATGACATCTTACAGAGTTCCTAGCATAAAGAATCCACCCCACTGAAGGCACTGTCCTAGGAGGAGGCAGGCAGCTGTAATTTGGGGCACAGTTTGGACCCACAGTCTCTGGCATTCCATAAATGCCTTTGTGCAGAAAAAGAAACAAAAACAAAAACAAAAAAACAGGCATTTTCAGAATTTAAATTGGTGTCAGAGCCATGCATAACTCCATCTCTGCTGCCTGTGGCCCCCTGCCAAGTGCAGAAGTAGTATCTTTGAGGGATCTGAAGGAAACCAGCCAAGGAGACCTGCTTAATCTCCTTCTTTGTATATTCATCACAGAAACCTCTCCAGGAAATGCCTGGGCTCCCAAGCCTTCCATCATGTACACAGCTCCTAGCAGCTTGCTGAGGTCCTTCTTGTCTTGCTCTCAGGCACTCTACATGCAAAATATTACAAGACTCCACATTCCGTATAATTCAGAAATGGCCTAGGTCCTAGCTTATTGTTATATTAAAATGACCAATAGGACAGCCCTTTGTTTTCCAATCTGGAAGGATGTGATACCTCCTGTGAGTCTTTGTCAGCCTGGGAAGAGGCCAAGAAACCTGCAAAACAGAGCTGCTAACTCTGCTTCTGCCCTTTGTGTCACAGGCGCTCATTAAGCCATCCCAGGAGCTGCTTTCCCAGATAAACTGTCAGATCTTCCCTTGTAGTCTCAGTCCCGGCTTGTCCAGAGGCAATTTCATTTCTAGCACTCAAGGCTGTTGTGTGCAAGGCATCGCATGAGATGGAAGGGCTGCAGGCAGGAGCTTCTCCTCCCTGTGGTGCAGCCAGGACTGTGGGCAGGAGCATGCAGGAGCTGCCTCTGCTGGCAGCATCTTTGTCTCCCCGGGGAAAAAGCAGTGGAAAGGGATCGTTGGGTGAGCAGTGCAGTCCGAACCACAGATGTTTTAATTAGGAAGGATTAGTCAAGTCCTGTGCTTTCTTGAGGCTACAACATTTTTGATGTGAGAAAGCACAGAGGAGCCAAGTTCCTTGTAACCCTATACTGGAAAGCAATGGTGATAGGATTTTGAAAAGATTCCAGTGAGAGATGAGTCCATGAGGTCCACAGTAGCTGCTGCTACCTTTCTATGCTTATTAGAGCTCATTAAAGTATTAAATGGAGTGATCCACTAAAAATTTTCTAGCCTTGCAGGTGCTCAAACTTAATTCTTCACTCAGATTCTGTGTACGCCCAGAGCACACTTTTTCTCCTTTCCAGAGCTGACAGACAAGTATAATAGCCTTGGAGGGCTCATTGTAAAGATCAGCTCAACAGGTCATGTATAAATCATTCTTCCATATAAATATCTCATAGGATTCTGAGATCACTATATATTAAAATACGGATGGCATCCTTAGCCAAGAATGAATCCCAAGAAGCTTTATGGGCTTTGTGTGTGCTTAAGAAATAATGAATTCCCAGGGAAAAGAGCACGGCTTTTTATTGTGTGTAATATTGAAAGTGCATCTATGATTACATAAAACCAGAAAATGCAAACTGGCATTTGACTTATGAGGACAGGAGCTCCCACTGGATCACAGTTTTGGCCCTGGCAGCTCTCAGGCTGACATTCACGAGGATGATTTGAAGGAGACTTTTGCTCATATCAGCATGAGAGAAAACCATGTTTTGAACACCTGCGGAGACAAAGACACTTCCAGACCAGCAAAAATGAGAGCCTGAAGGAAGAATCATATAGCACAATGTAAGACTTGCACAAGTTCAGTGTGGGGACCCGTGGTCAGTGCCCCACCTGTCTGCTTTGGTATCCTGCATTGGTGACTTTTGGACATCTACTAAGAGTCTGGAGATTGCTAAAAGCAGTTGTGAAATCCAGGAGATAGTTGTGAGCACAGGGTCAATGTCAATGAATATCAGGAGTGGGGCGGGAGGAACAAGTATCTTGCCTACAAGCCCAATCCCTGCTGCTAGTCCTGTGGGGCTGATCTCACCCACCACTTCCGTGCCTTCACTCTCCAGCTAAACAAACTTGGTTTTACTGTCCTCTCATTCACAATACATGATAAAGATGCTGTAGTGGAAGTGCCAAGTTATGGCCTGAAGCAGTGATTGAGCACCTGGTGGGAAGGCAGGGCCAAACCAGAGGAGCTCAGCTGCATGCAATGCACCTAAATGGAGTCAGGATCCACCCCTTCCCAGATCTCATTTAAGGGTTGGCAGTGGAGAGAGAATCTTGGAGATTCCTGTCTACTGGAGGCCTTCTAATAGTAAGTAGTTTTTCTTCCTTTGTTTCTGTATTTATGGCTTGTACAGTTGTGTTTGTTTTCACTTGTTGCAGGTTAGGATTGTGCTACCCTGCTACTATAGTACTTTCCATTGCAGCATTACAGATGTCATAAATAGTACTCGAGCTTGAATGTGTACTTGTTTAAGAAGCTGATGAAGAATCCCTCATACCACTTAGGGGCTGCTGATGTTATGTTTTGCGTGGCTGCCAACAGCATAAATGGCATCTGCATAAAAGAAACTTGACTTTACAGAAGGAGTTGCTGCCAGAAAACTTCTCCAAGCATTGTCTAGCTTATTCTGTACCCTCTCATTTGACTGTTATCCTTAGTAGGCACATGCAGTAGATAACCTGTTTTCCATCTTCTGCAGAACTGACAAAGTGATAGGAGCATAGGTAAGATAAAAAGAGCAGGTGTATCATTTGACTTTGCTGTGTTACTCGCATCCGTTCTGAGCTGGACTCTCATCCAGGTGACAGGCTGTGCATATGAGCCAAGAGAGCTGTTCTTTGGTACAAACCTGTATCAAGATGTCAAGTGAGTTAGCAAAATTGCATTCCTTTTGTATCTTCTTTTTTTTTTTTTTTTTCTTAAAATAAGTGCAAAAATCTAGAGTGCATGTTCAGACTTAACAGGAAAGGGATGTGAGGGTTTTGTCTGTTTGTCTTCTGGAATGCTGTGCCAAATTTTTTTTTTTTTTTAGTAGAGTGAAGGAAAAGATCATTCTCTATTTCCCTATATGAATGTGGCATAGGCAACTGAATCTTCAATGTTAATGTGTATCAGTCTTTCTTCCCCTGGTAGCAAGGATGGAACAGGAGCTACCTCTTATGTGATAAGACTCACTCTAGCTCCCTGCTGCAGCAAAGACATGCAGACATGCTGTGACCCACCAGCATCCCCATGGACGTTGGCAAATTCCTGCTTAGCCCTCCAGGTGCCCTCTGAGCCTTCTCAAAGATACCTGGGCTTTTCTGCTGATGTGGGTGGAGTTGGTCCTTGTTAGCTCTGAGCTTGCATTATGTAGCTCAGCAGTGATTATGGCTACTAGTGTGTATCAAGTATTTTTACTAGCCTATTTTTTGGAGGAAGAGCTACAAGACTGTGCCACCATGCATGTGGTGTGAGGCTATTCAGAGTTCAGGGAGTGCAATATGAATGTCTTGTCATGGGTGGATGGGGAATAGGAGAAAGACTGTGTGTCTTGGAGCCATTACCAGATAAAAATCAAGATAAGCGTAACTCCCAGTGTAAGGCATACACATGAGCATGAATTGGTGAGGAGCAAGATGCTGAAGCTTTCTGCACATGATCTGCTGCAGTAACCTCTTCCCCTGTACCTCACCCCTTGTCTCATCTGGTTTCAGTGGATTTCCAAAGACATGTTTTTGGTAAACATGCTGTTTAAGATCCAGATCATGGTATCTATTACTGTGTAGGTTGTTTCTGTTGGTGACTCTTTGGTAGTGCATCTGACATTCTCTCAGCCGCAAGAGCTGGAGCTCTGTTATTTCTTACTTAGAATGTTTATGTGAACATCAAACTTACTGCCTTATGCTCTATTTCAGAAGTATAAATAAATACCACTAAGCAATGTCAAGCACAGAGCAATGCTCAGCTTTTTAAGGTGTTATACAAACACATAACAAAACGATTTTCTAACTACTTTCAAGTTGTTTCTTCTCTTTTGCTTTGATCGTGAACAAGAACAATCAGTGTGTAAGGGAACAACAACAATGTATCATAATATTTTGTTTTAAGAGTTACTTTCTTTGATTTGTTAGAGGTTGTAGGCATAATTTTGAATGAAACAACAGCAGGAATTGCTGTGTTAGGTCAGAGCAGGTTGCTGAGCTTGTCTCTGCCTCACCATCACAGACCTGGAGCAACAATAAGATTGTCTAGGTAAATGCCTGCTTTGTTATCTTTGAATATCTGTGTGGTAATGGCTGCTCATGCAAGTGTTACTGCACGTTCAATCTGTCTTTTATTTCTACTGCAACCTGTCTCAGAAATCAATACTGGAGAAGCTCAGTTGCCAGCCCTAGCAACTGGCAATTACTCCCAACCTGTCTGAATGCAGCAAAGCCAGAGTTCAACCTAGTTGGTTTTATCTATGCTGCACATCACACTGACATGATGGTGGCATGTGAAGCTCTAAGAGGAATGTAGTCATGCTACTTATTTATGTAGGTGCTATGAAAAATACAGTTAGCCAGCTTTCCTTTCTTCCATCTGTGCCAAGCCCAGATGGTCAGGGAGACGAAATAAAGCTTCACTTTATTTAAAACAGACAAAAACAAAAAACAGCACCTCATCCATGAGTATAGAGATGCAAGTGTGCCTTTCTGTCTGTGTGCCCATTAGTGACTCTTTAGAGCAAAAGACTAGCTTTTCTCCTTAGTTTTCCATTACATTCCCAAAGTTAATAGAGCTGTTTCAAGATGACAGTATTGTTCCCTCTTCCTAAATACCAGGAAAATCTGATACTTGCTGTAATTATTTATTTAAAAATCTTTCCACTTACCTTCAGTTATGAGTAATACTTAAACATATTGTAAGATAATCAGTGTAGTCACCTGAGACCAAATTCTTCTTTCTGTGATAATTCTGCGTGCTGCTGGAGCTGATAGGGCTCAACACAGATTTTTTTTTTTATTATTTTTTTTTTTTTTTTAAGTGAGCACTGTTGGAGGACAGTGTAGAAGCATTCAGGTGCAAAATGTCTCTCATGTGGAAACTCTCAGAAGAGTGGATGGCTCAAAGGACAGAGGTAGTCATGGATCTAGATCTCTCACATCCTGGAGGCTGGGGAAATGTGGGTGTCCACTGCTGCCTTCCTGGGTGTTTTGCTTTAAGCTGTTTATTTTCTTTGCTTTTCTTCTAAGTGTCTGAAATAAACCATTTCATCTGGAGTCAGAAGGAATGCTTATTGAGTACAATTAGCTTGTTCTGCTTCACTGAGAGAGAAACAAAACATTTTCTTTTTACTCTAATTCACTTCAGAATCAAGTCCTTCTTTTCCCCTTTCATCTGTCTGCTTAAATTAGGAGATTTGATACAACTATGTGAAGAACAAAAAGCATAGCCAATATCATTCACAACAAACAGCTCAAGTGCAAGAGAACTTACCACATTTTTCTTTCTAGGTCTGCGCACCTGGTTAACCAAGAAATCCTCTCCAAAAAGTTTGATACAGAGTCTGAGTTCTTGTGGGTTTGGTAGAAGCTTTCAATAGTTTCCCAAGGCTAAGATGGCTGGGATACTTGCAGCAACAGGAGCAAATGGCTTGACTGAGGCAATCCCCATTGATTGTTCAAACCTTTGCAGTTAGGAAGCTAGTGCAGCTCCAAGGGAAGGGAGAGGAGCTGGTTTTCTGTGGGGGTCAGCGATTGGTCTTCCTCGTCATTCACCACACAGCAGTACACTACCTGGGTAATGTCCTGGCAAATGAGCACCTGGCCCAACCTTCCACCTTGTCACCTGACGGCTGGTGGCAAAACTGGCAAAGGGTGCCTGGCTTCAGCCCCTGAGAGGAACATCATACACTTGTGACTACCACTGAAAGTGAGCCACTGGAAAATCTTGTCTTGGATCAGAAACTCTGGCCATGCATTTACAAAGCATTATCTCAGCTATTCCAGCAGTGACAATCCTGGCACTTTGTTGTGGCTGTCCAACACAGTCCAGCACGTGCTTGACTTGTGGTATGTTAGAGCTCAGCTCCTTATTGCAGCAAAGACCTTCTGAATTACCCTGGTGATGATGTCAGCACCATCCTTTCCTTTATTTTTTTTATTTTTTTCTCTCCCTAGCCCTGAAGCAAGGCAACATCTGGAGAATGGACAGCTGAGGCAGCTGGAGGCAGGAGACCATGTCTATCCCACAGCTGCAGAGGTAAGTGACATGTTAAGCCAACAAGGATAGATAGCTGAGTCTAAAAGTCTTGCTCGTGACTTTACGTCTTACACTTGTCCTTACCAAGATGTGACTTTGGGGCAGGAGATGACATTGTGCAGGATGGGATGACTATGACATTGCTTGGCTGAAAGACCTGTAGAGCTTACTAGTCAGATTCAGACTATATAAATGAGCAGATACACTTGGTCACACAGAAATCATCTGCATGCATAAAATAGATACATAAGCATAGCCATACATGTGCACATATAGAGAAGATCCATGTCCTCATGATGGCAAATCTGCCACTGAGTAGTCCTTATTCTTAAAGCACTTGTTGTCTCCCATGGGATGCTGTTTAAGGGTAAGCATGTGAAGACTTTGGCATGGATTGTATTATCTGTTAGGAGGGTGAACATTATTTTTCCAGGCTGTAGGTTGAGGTAGCTGGCTGGTTTTCCTCCTTCAGAAAGAGAATACTGAAATATTCAGAAGTTTCATATAAAGTATAAACATGCCAATTCTGCTGACTTCTGAAGTCATTACCATAGCATCAGCCTGAAAACACATTTGTCCAGAAATGAATTTTTCCCTAATGAAATAAACAGAAATATCTGTAAGAAGTGTTGTGCCTTTGTCTCCTGTAGAAGGGCTGCTCAGAGAGCCCAACAAAGGCAGGAGTCTGACGTGTCCTTTGAAGAGCTCAAGTGACAAGTGCAAGACCTGGCCAAAAGCTGCTAGCTGTTTGGGTTTACTTCCAAGGAGCACAAACCTGCCAGATGTTTTTTTTTGTTTTTTTTTTTTTTAAAAAAAAAGCAGCAACATCCTGGGAGCTATGGCTTTAGTCCAGATTTTCCCTTCTCTTTGCTCTTAGCTCCACTGTGTCACACTAACAGCTTTTGCCTCTTCCTGCAAGCTGCCATCATGCTCAGTGGGTAGGAGGTGGCAGCCAGCTTCTTGATTTAAACAACAGGCAAAGGATTCCAGCTGTGCTCCTGATTGCTCACTGACCTCAGTTTTTCTGATTAAATTATCCATTCCCTGCAGCTAACCAACCAGTTAGAATGCTTTCCCTCATTTCATGTTTTCTCTACAAGCCAGGGAAGACTTTGTTGTTGGTAACAATGGAACATAACAAATTCATGTTCTGTCTTAGGTAAGTCGGGATTTTACCGACCAGTTGTCAGGGATGTTTTTAATCTGTTTTGATGCTGATGTTTCAAATATATTAAAAGGTGGGAACAAAAACTACTTTAGAAACCATCATTAATGTGATATCTGCAGATGATGGGTAGAGACATGAAAACATCATTGTTGTCACTGCAGCATACATCTCTAAAGAGATAAGGTGGTAGAGGAAAAGCTGAAAAAATGTTGCTGAGAACCAATGCATGCCCTGTGAGATTTTACTACAAAGGGCCTCAAAAAGCCCTCAGTAGGCAGTGCAATAAATGCAGAAGGCAATAGAGAACATACTTGAGGAGCAGCAGACGTGCGATGAAGGCGTATGTTGAATGCAGTTAAACTGTAAGATGGACGTTGTTGAAAAGCCAGTGATTTGAATGTAACAGGTGCACTTTATTCTGAGCGGAGGCAGGCGGGGCAGGCTTCTAATAGGGCTTCAGAGTTCTGTATCATGATTTCTTGATGCTCAGGCTGATGTTTCAGAGCTCACACTTTAGCAGCTGAGGATATGTGCAAGTGAAAAAGTCTCATTTCAACATTTTGGAAAATACTGGGAACTCATGCTGGAAAAACACCTGGAAGACAATGCAATTGTTTGTCACAGCCAGCATGAGTTCTAAAGGGGAAGGTCCAGTTTAACAAACTTAATCTCCCTTTATGACAAGGTTACCCAAGTTGACCAACGGAAGCCAGTTGATGTTAAATTTTTGGATTTCAGCAGTGTTTTCAAAGCTTTTCTCACAGTATTCTTTTGGACAAAATGTCTGGTATACAACTAGGCAAAAACATAACGGGATAGGTGAATAACTGTCTGATGGGCCGTGGCCTAAGGCTCACAGTGAATGGCATTACATCAGGGTGGTGGCTAGTTGCTAGCGATGTTCTTCAGGGCTTCATTTCAGGGCCAATTGTTTTTGAGTCATTGATGAAAATGTTGAATACAGGACTCTAAAGTATAGTAAGTTTGCAGGTGAACCTTAATAGTGAGGAGCTGTTGACTCCCTGTAGGATAGAGAACTTTACAAAGAGATTTTGACAAACTCTAGGGCTTGGGTGGTCGCCAGCAGCATGAAGTTTAACAAGAGCAACTGCCAGATTCTGAAGCTTCCTCAAGGGAGCAGAGGGGCAGTGCTGAGTGCTGCTGTCTGTGACAGCAACAGGGCCCAAGGGAATGGCATGGAGCTGTGTCAGGGGAGGGGCAGCTGGAGGTTAGGGTGGTGGGCATGGAACAGGATGCCCAGGGCAGTGGTCATGATCCCAAGCTGCCAGAGTTCAAGGAGCTTTTGGACGATGTTCTCAGACACAGGGTCTGAATTTTGGGTGGTCCTGTGTGGGTCTCTTCCAACTCAGGATATTCTATGATTCTGGCACTGACTTATAAACAAGTTCATTGTACAACTGACACACGTTTGTGTTCAAATGTTTTATTTAATTTAAAGTTCACTTTTTTCCCTAAACATATATTAATTTGTGACCGCTTTTAAAGTTCTGTAATAAAAATCTTAACCACATTCATAAGTTCAGTGCCTGCCTAAACTTCTAGCCAGGCTTCAGACAGCCCAATAAAAAATGTTATTGGCCAAATGTTAATGATGAAATGTATTCTGTTAATGGAGAACATTTCAGGAAAAAGCAGGTCCTGTTCACTACGTTGCAAGGAGAAAGCCCTGGAAGTCTGTTGCTTTTTGACATCCCATTGCCACTGTGTCTCTGGAGAGGACATCATCTGTGCACAAGTGCCACGTTTTCAGCACTAGGTCTAAGAAACCTCATAGGCTTTTTTGAGACTCTTATGCTTTGAAGCAACAGAAATAATTTTTTTTTGGCAAGCATTCTATCCCAAATGTGTGCATAATTCCTATACAGTTAAAATGAAGCATAAAATTGTACTGTACCAAGAGGAAAACTAGTAAAACAGATCTTGCTGAGCAGGAGCCAAGCTAAATGAGTCTAACACTCTTCAGGAACCTGCCCTACTTCAGCTCCTGTTGCCCAAACCATAGAGCAGTGATAGGCTTGCCGAAACCCTTAGTGCTTATACTGATAGCCTGGTGATCCCCTGTGGCTCCATCCTTTCAGATGGTAGCCAGAACCATTGGCTTTTCTATCATAGGAGCTGGGGCTGCCCCCATCATGCAGTTAGTGCCTGTAGAACACCACATTTATACATTCATAGGCTCATACTCTTTTATTTCCAAAATTCCTCATGTACATTTTTCAGCCACTTTCTTTGCTTGATTATTGTCTTTCCAGGTCTTCTTATCCCTTCAAATAAAAAAGAAACTTTAAAAAAATAAAAAAAAAAAAAAAAAAAAGGAAAAATGAAATAAAGGCTTAAAGAAGAGGTTGCTGTAGAATTTAACTTTTAAGATGAAGAGTGTGAGGTCTGAAGTCACCTTTCCAGATGTTTCCATCATTGTTAAGTGAATGGGGGACTCAGGACCTGTTGCACAGCTGCAGCTCTGCTGCGGCTTGACTCACCTGCAGCTGCACTTTGTCTTTGCAGTGATTGCCGTTAATCTGAACCGTGTGCCTGCTGCCATCTTCTAACAGCCACATATTTTCCACATATTTCTTAGTCGTTGCAGTGCTTTGTTCCGATGTCTTTGAGAAAACATCTGCCCTGAGGATTCCCCTTTTTATAACCTCTTTAAAATATGTCACCATCTGCTCTTTCTTAAAATCTCTTCCTTGATCCCATCACCAGTGCCTGGCCCCTCAGTGACCTCCCATTTCTTAGCAAGAAAATTGGGGAGGGATGTTCATTTGTTTGCTTTGTGTATTACAGCATTCTGTGTTATGTTATGGTCAAGTGGCTTGCTCAGTCTATAGCACAGAAGCACCTCTGTGCTTTAGAAGAGATGCCTCTTCGGACTGCTGAAGGCCCTCTGTTTCTTGACATGTGTACAGTGTCAGAAAGCAGACCCCTGCCCTGTATCTCCCTGCACCAGCCCAGCTTCGGGATTACAATCATTAGGTTCTTGCAGCCTAACAAATCATTTTACCCTCTGTGCTAAAGCCCATTGGCAGCAAACACCCACATAAAGCTGCCCCTGGACTTCCACTGGTTGTTCCTCTACTTGGTCAGCTTGCTTCCTTCTTTAATTTCTTTTCTGCTAGGTACATAGCACACACTTTTTGCTGCTCTTTTGAGTGAAACCTTCTTGCATGCTGTCTCCATTTATTCTGCTTTTTTTTCAGCTTTATTTTCAAAGCCAAGAGTGTACTTTTTCAGCAATAATAAGTTCCTCTTCCTCTACTGCCTTTTCCAATCCAGATTCTCAACATGCCTTTGCTCCCTAAAGCCTTCACAAGATTCTTAAGATTTCTTTCCCCTTCTGTGTGACACATCTCCAGAGAAATCTCTATTTCTGCCAGAGACTCCGACACTGATGACATTTTATTTGATTTTCTTAATGCTCCCTTACAGCTCCCTTTCCTTATATCTGCCTTGATATCCAGCATTCCTTAAACAAAAATGTCATTTCAGGTTTTCTCATATGGATGAGAAATATGATTGCCCGACGGTAAAGGCATTGTTTAGTTTAGTTTTGTTTTCCATAGGATCATAGAATATCCCAAGCTGGAAGGGATATTCCATGGGGATCATAGAGCCCTGACAATAGGGACGGTTTTTTGCTTCCAAGCAGATTATTTGAAAAATAATTTGGGTTTCAAATAAGAGTCTGAGCAACAGAAATTTGTATATTGTCAGATCCAGCTGAGTGGAAAGCAGAACTGAAGTAGTTGTAAGTAAAGGTGAACTGCCTCTGGTACTTGACACAGAGGTAGTAATTCAAGCCAGCATGCTGATAATGCAATATATATACTCAAAAATTATTTTGTAATTGATTTTATTTCTCTCCTTCAGGTTAAGCAGCTTTCTACTGATTGCCAATCATGGCTTTGAACATGAAGAGAATCTTTGACAGGAACGGTGTTCCCTTGGGGTCTGTATTGAGGCCAGCCCTGTTCAACATCTTTGCTGATGATCTGGACAAAGGGATTGAGTGCATCCTCGGTAAGTTTGCAGATGATACCAAGCTGGAAGGAAGTAATGATCAGTACTAGATTTTGTGCTGCTCATCTTCTTGGGGCAGGGACCATCTGTTTGATTTTGCATACAGCACAGAGCTGCTGTAGCCATTGCACAGGGCATTTTGGCTAATTCTGCAGACACGGGACCACATATATGCACTGGGTGGCAATCCGCCTTGCACTGCTGTTGGTTCTGGGCAGCTCACATCAGTTCACAGCAGCCTTGAGGGTGTAACTGCAGGTTGCATACATCTGTAAATACATCATCTACCCCCCAGGAGAACATACATCTATACCTACCTCCAAGAGGGATTCTTGGAGGAAAATAACTTATGAGAGCTATCTTGCTGTCCTTCTAGCTCGACTTTAATGAAAGTTCTGCCTCTGGGATCCTCAGCTCATGGTTGAACAAAGCTGGAGCCATCTGTGCAGCTACTTTTACCATCACAGGAGCAGATGCTGTTTCAGTGCAGCATCCTAGAAGGCCACAGGAGGCTGAAAATGAAATCTGTATGATAAAAATAAGAAATCAGGCTTTCTTTTTCTTTCTTTCTTCTGTCCCTCTCCCCCCATTTGTCTCCAATCTATTAAAATACTTGTGAATCTTCCTGGAGATTTACCGGCATTAATTCCAGCAGGACAAACCCTCATCATTTTTCCCTATTCAGTTAAACCTAACACCACTGCCGTCATCACTAACAGGTTAAACAGAGCTAAATACATCATCTTATTGTGAATTACATACAATTTGGCCTTTGTTTTTCTTCTGTGGGCAGTGATATCTGCTTTCTACTCTGAATTTGTCATTAGTAAACTAGAACTTACCCGGTGAGAGCTGTTAAGTGCTTGTATAAAGCAATCAGTCAGAAAATGTTACCAAAGAATGTCAGCAGGTGGGTCCCAGAGATATTACAGAGAGTTACAACCATTTCTAAAATGGAGGTGAAAATTGCAGTTCTCACCACTGTTCACTGCACAATCTGGCTTCTAAAAATGCTGGCAAACAGAAATTCAGCACTGCCAACTGCAATTGTATCATGAGTTGATGATACTAAGTATTGAATGAAGTCCCCACTCCTGCAGGCATCTGGATTAGATGAAGATCTCAACTTTCATTTTGTATAAAAGCCCCATGAGTCTAACACACGTGGTTAGAAAAGTCGGACCAAGCATGAGTGTCATTTCACCCAGTTTTACTGTCTGCAATTTAGACATCTGCTCCGAGCCGTTAGGTCACCTGTCCTAACAGTGGGGAGAGTGACAAATTGAGGTGGCTGCTTGCCCCTGTCAGCACTCCAGCATCACATCTCCTACCACCAGGTGGTTGCGGGTGCTGGCTGTGCAACAGAACACATCAGCTACCTGGCTAAAAGCTGAAGGCTATGAAAGTAGTAAAGCTGATCCCACTGGTGCCAGGTGATATAAAAGCAGACAACTGTACACAGTTACACTGCAGATTTCACTTAGCCTTTGTGCCATGTCAATAGTGGGGAGGGAGTAGGTGACATTCGAAGAGTTCCTCCAGCTTCGGTCTAGAGATATCATGACACCCTCAATCCAAAGGCAGTGGATTTCCTGTAGGTGGTTACATACACCCTATCCAGAGAAGATATTCCAGAGAACTATCCATACCACGCTCCTAAAGCAATGATGGGAGTTGGCAGAGAGCCTTCACTTGGAGAGGCAAAAATTGTGCCCAAGTGTGGGTACACACTCTGTTTTGGATTTTAGTACCCCCCTCCCCCTTCAGATTACACTTTCTTATAGCAGCTGTGAAATGTCATAATGCTTCAAAAGATCCCTTCAAAAAATAAAATAAAACGGTGGTAGTTTTCTTGTATCCAAGGTTCTTGAGTATCCAAGATCCTCTCCTCTCTTGGATCTTGGAAGAGAGGAGCAGCTGCTGTGAATGAAGGATGCCAGATGGGAAAATAACCACACAGAAATACGGTGTGAAACACTGCAATAGGAGTACTGGCTCTTTGGGTACATGGGGACCTCAGGAGGCAGACATAGCTGCAGACCAGGTGTATCAAAAGCCTGTCATATATTATATCTGTAATTACTAAATGTTTAACTCAGGTCATTTGCCTCATCTTATTACAAAAAAATAAGAAAATTAAAAAATTTAAAAAAAGTATGCAAGAAGACTGGGTAGTTCTCCAGGTCTCACTGCTGACTGTAGTAAAAGAGCAGAGAAAACATCTAATTCTGTTCATGTCATGAGGAACCCAGCATTTTCCACCTCAATTGCTGGACACAAGATACTGCAGGTATAAAAGTCTGTTTGGGTTCAAGACGTAACTCTGTAAGTTTGTAAACCATAAACACACCAAGAGCTAATACAAATACAAAAAATGCACTCCTTTCTGGCTCAGACAGAAGCTACTGGAGAATGAGAAGCATCCCTTTGCATCCAGTATCAGCAATGGCAGGGCAAAGCTATCCCAGAGGGATGAATTTCTGTCCTGATCCGCTTGGTAGCTCTTATATTCTTGTAGATTCATTTTGTAGCAAGTTTGGTCAATGGAGTTATTTGTTATTTATCAATTTGTTGTCTTACCACTCACTGCTTTTTTCTTCTTTTCTTCTTTTTTAATCATCTGTGTGTCTTCTGTATGTAAAGCAGCATTCACTTACAGGAAAACACATTGACCAAGCTAACAAGCTCAGGTTGCACAAAATCACTCCAACACCTGAAAGGAGAGGGAAGTGAGGTGTAACGGACAAACAGGTTGCTCTCCAGACTCAGGGGATCTCCCAGCATCACGGGCCATTGATCATTAAGCATAGCCATTACCCAAGGAACAAACACTTCACAGTTCATTGCAGCAGAGACAGAGGAACAAGAAATTAAGGACTGATTGAGCCTGAGGGAACAAAGGGAGGTGAAGTGGAGTATGTTTTTTAAATTTTGTTCTTGTTAATAAACTATCCAAATCTATTTTAACTGGCAATTATTAACAAAAAAATAAAAATAAAAATCCCCAATTCAATGCTGGCTTGCTCCTGACAGTAATAGGTAAATTGCCACCTTTGAGGAGGTAGAGTTGTCTCTTCCCTGGAAAGGCTGCTTGGAGGAAGAGGAAGCCTTCAAGGCATCCAAGCCCAAGTAGAATGAGTGCTTTGCTCCACTGTGTGAAGGAGAGCAATCTTAAGCTAGGATGTTTAACAGTTTTAGAATACAAGTATAAATAGGAATTATATTCAATGCATACTTCACACCTTGCAGTGACAGAATGTGCTCAGAATTATTCTTTCCACTTGTTAGTCCCTGCTTCCAACAGAATGATTTAACTTCTCACATGATTCAGAGCTTTTACCTTGCAGGGTTTATTTTACATCCACATGCTTGCAGAGATGAGTAAGTCTCTTGGCCACAGGGCCACAGGCAGAATTTTAAACAAAATCATGTGGAAAACATATTGCAAAGAACCATAATAATTTTGAACCTTCAAAATACGGTATTCGGAGCAGTGCCTTCTATTAAAGAGTGCTGAAGAGGTTGGTAAAGACCTTTGGTATCCCAAATGGAGCTCCAAGGTGAAGACAATTCCTTCCATTCACCTAGTTTGATATTAACTAACCTGCCAACATTACAAGCCATACAGACCCCAAAGGCAAGATGATCAGCTTTCCTGGGTCAGACTGCTTGTTCCACACTTTTCCTCAAGAAAGGAAAGCAATAAAAGCCTTCTGGGCAGATCCCAAAGAGTAGGGCTGTGCCAGCCCGCATCTCTACAGAAGAGAAAGTGGAACAGCAGCATGGTTTTTGTTGGCATCACTTTGCTTACCTCACTCCTCAGTATTCGCTGCTCTTTAGCAATTGCAAGGAGGCTGCTGCAGAGTCATCACATGAGCCCACTCCAAAGCTATCAGCAAGGTCTGGTACTTCCATCTGTGCCCTTGTCACCTGCAAGTGAAACAGCCTCACCCTCCCCAGGCTGACTGCCTCAGTCCTGCAGGAACTGGTGGAGATGTGAGAGTCCCAGCTGGAACACAGAGCCCTCCCTGAGCTGTCAGCCCTGCTCTCCTCCTGCCCTGCCACAGCTCCCACCACTCAGCCAACACCGATGTTTTCTCTCCGGGCTGCTCTTGGCTTCCTGCTCCACAGCTGCACTCTCCACATCAGAAGGGACTTTCCAGAGAAAAGTGAAATTAGTAAAAATTAATATAATTGAATGCATTTTGTTTTACCAGAGAGACTGTTTGTGGTTTGCAAATAGACATGAGACATTATAAAATATTTTCTAACAGTACCCTATAGAGATGACTTGTCTGTAAAACATAAAATATGGCTGGCGGGAAACCAGCACATTGACTCAATAAAACATGACATTAGCTGACACCAAAAACAATCTAGTTAAGCAGCAGAAAACTTTACAGCCTCAGTTATTTGAGAAATACAGAGGTAGTCCAGCTATTAAAATGGAAGGGATCATTAGGGTAATGCACACTATTTGCTTCAGTGTCATTAAAATGCAATGCTATGAATCCATTGAGGTGGAACTTCTTTGACTCTTATTCTCCTGACTGCTCAAAAAATAGCAAGAGACCAACAACCACTTTGAAAACACAATGTTTTGCAACATTCACTCAGAAATATCTCTAGCTGAGCCAATCAAGGCTTCAGAGTCTATGGAGCATATACATTTTCAGTGTGTAATGGTAACACACATTCTTGACATACTCCAACAATGCAATCAGTCAAATCAGTGTAACTAAAGCCATTGCTTGGGTCTACCCTACACTTTGGACACAAATGAGCAATTGTAATCTTCACTGTCTTCTAACTGGTATTTCGCAGAACATCTGTGCACAGAAAAGCAGAGCTCCTTGCCTTGTAAGAACAGCACTTAGGAGGCTAACATAGAACAGGATAGTTACTTGTTCACACCAGTATTGTTGTGGTGAGGTGCTCCATGGGAACTCCAATAACAAGCCTGCATCAGATGTATGAAACAGAAAGGAAAAACAGCTGAAGACATTCTTAACCATTCTTTCAACTACTGGGGCCTTCTGGGCAACAGCTCCTAAAAGGCAATTCCTAAAGTTCCTCTCAACACCAACACTGAAATAGTCCACATCAGCTTCATGCTGGCTTAACTCTTAGTGCCACAGGCCTAGAGGAAATGTGGTCTCTGCTGTTCTGCCCATGACCAGCATCATTACAGAATGCTCAAAAATATGGGGAGGTGAGATCAAACATTAAATCACAAAGAGGTGAACATGGCTGCTAGGGCTGCAGGCAAGACCTTGACACAATAATTGAAAGATACCTGGCATGCAACAACATATGCAGCTGCTGCACATTTTTTTTTCCAGTTATCTATTGGACACAGAAAGAGAGCAAGGTGAATTTTCTTTTTTTCTTTTTTCTTTTTTTCCTTTTTTTAACTGGCACTGTGTTTGAAAGTGTCTAGTACTATGGATCATGGCAAGTAACTAAGGTTCCTGAGTAGTAAAAGAATCTGGGAATAAAT